CTGGGTCTTACTTTTCTAAATTATGTAATTTTGTTTTTTTGCGTTAACGCTAATTTTCATATCAAATTTTTATGAGAACTTAAATTTTTAAAATATACTGAAAATACAACTCAAAATATATACTGTTTTATGGCTAAGTAATTTTCGATTTCAGCTGAAACACTAAAAATCAAAATAGCAACCTGGTCAGAAACTCACATTCGTCAAAAATAGACATAATACGAAAAGATAAATTTTAAAATTCCATAAAGTAGCACATGTGCAACACTTGAGTATGTTTACTGTGTGCAACACCACAATAATGATCCCAAGTGTTGCACATGTGTCTAATTTATCAACTTATCGGTTCTCAGAGCCATTTACCTACACTTAATATTTCAGTTTCCTGCGAATAGTATACAAATTGAGTATATTTTTGGGATAAATTATATATATTAGTCTATTAGTTACCACAAGACACATGCTGATATACTGTACCAGCCTTGAACACCTAGACAGTACACAATATGTTTTAATATAGATATAAGTAGATAGTTGTTCTCAGCACATAGACTCCCATATCATCTGTTATCAATCTCTCCCAAGGACAGTAATTATATCACCTGTTTTTAAGATATGGGTGAAGAAACTGATATCAACTAGAGATGCCCCAGCAAAAAACATTTACATTACCTTCAGAAACAACAAGACTGAAAATTCGGGAATTATCTCGTCAAAGATTTACGAATAAGAATTTCACTGAACTAATATAAAGCAGTTTACAGTCCAGCTTATTTTGAAAAAAATAAATTATGACAGAAACATTTTGATAGCAGAATTGACTCTTTTGCGGGGATTTAGATGAGTCTGATGGTAAATATATAACAGAGAGTCAAAATCAAAAGTGGTACTTTTGTTAAAAAAAATCGGGGCGTGTTGTGAAGCACAGTGATCATTGGCGCTGCAGGAAGGTTACAATGTATAGTGTTACTGAACGGTTACACTGTACCATGGATTATAGTGTTACTGACAAGTTCTCACTGCATCCTGGATTATAGTGCTACCGAGAGGTTACACTATAAAGGATTACTGAAAGGTTTACTGAGTATTGGTTTACATAAGCACTGAACGGTTACACTGTATCGTGGTGTATAGTGTTGATAGTTTGTTATAGTGGTGATACACAGTTACACTGTATCATAGATTACAGTGCTACTGAAAGGTTAAACTGAAGGTACTCTGTCCCTCACACTTGACTGAAAGAAATTAGTTCTTCAGTCTGGATAGGAGGTACTCAGTCTCTCACACTTGTTGGAAATTAGTTCCTCGGTCTTTATAGATGTAATCAGTCCCTCACACTTGATAAAGCGTAATCAGTCCCTCACACATGACAGAAACAAATCAGTTTCTCAGTTCTGATAAAAGGTAATTAGTCCTTCACTTGACAAAGAGTAAACAGTGTCCAATCTTGGTAAAGAGTAGTCAGTCCCTCACACATAATAGAAGGTAATCAGTCCCTCACACATGATAGAAGGTAATCAGTCCCTCACACTTGATGAAGGCTAGTCAGTCCCTCACACATTATGGAAAGTAATCAGTCCCTCACACTTGATAAAGAGTGACCAGTCCCTCATCCTTGACAGATGGCAATCAGTCCCTCAGTCATGATAGAAGGTGTTCAATACTTCAACATACATAGAAGATAATCAGTCCCTCATTCTTGATAGAAAGTAGTCAGTGCCTCAGATTTGATAGAAGGTAATCAATGCCTCAGATTTGATAGAAGATAATCAGTGCTTCAGATTTGATAGAAGGTAATCAGTACCTCAGATTTCGTAGAAGGAAATCAGTCCCTTAGTGTTGAAACAAGATTATGAGTCTCTCAGTCTTAATAGAAGGTCATCAATTCCGCTATCTTAACAGAAGGTGATCTGGTCCTCAATCTTGAGAGGAAGTCGTCAGTCTTTCAGTCATGATAGAGTGTAATCAGTCCCTCAGCCTCGATAGAAGGTTTTCAGACCCTCAGTCTTGACAGTAGGTCATCAGTCCCTCAGTCTGGATAGAAGTTAATTAGTTCCTCAGTCTTGATAGAAGGTATTCAGTCCCTCAGTCTTGACAGAAGGTAATCAGTCCCTCAGTCTTGACAGAAGGTAATCAGTCCCTCAGTCTTGAAAGGAAGTACTCTGTCTCTCATTCTTTACAGAACATCGTCAGTCTCCTAGTTCTGATTGTCAGTAATCAATCCCTCAGTCTTGACAGGTCATCAGTCCCTCAGTTTTGAAAGGAGGTCCCACGGTCTTGACAGGCCATCAGTCCTTCAGTCTTGACAGAAGGTCATTAGTCCACTTTTCATCACAGTTTCTCAGTTTAGACAGGTCATCAATCCCTCAGTCATGACACAAGTTCATTAGTCCCTTAGTCTTGATGAATATTAAGTATACTGAGTCTAAAATACTGAAATCCAGCTTTTCACAGCTTTTCGTTCTGTTATAATATATTTTGCAACCTTTCCTGCATGTCAAAATTATGTGGAATTTTAGTTATGTTATTTACAACGTTATTCTGGACTAAAACAGATAAATATAATTTATTGTAATATCTTGATGTATGGGATTTAAACATTTTTTTTTTCCAGAGTATGACTCAGTAAATGTAGGATATTTTGGAGCAGGGATTATAACCCAGGCAACCATGGAGGAAATCAATCTCTGCAATGAAATGACCATGATGGCAAGCAAGTAACAGCAGCAACAGCAACATCAACAACAACAGCAGCAACAACAACAACAACAACAGTACGATCCTCAGAATCTGCAGCATCAGATGATGCAGCAGCTGCAACATCATCAGCAGCAGATGCAGTAGTTCCCATAGTTTATTAGTATATATACCCCCATCACCACCATCACTGCTCACTCTTAACAACACCTCCACTGCTCTTCTAACAAGGTAATGTTGCAACTTAACAACATCACAGCAAGAGAGGCATGAGAGGGGTGAGGCGACTTACACATTGGCTATGAACATGCTAGTTATGGTCTACTGAACAATGCTAGGGAGGTGATACTGACCCATGCTACTCAGGTGCTATTGACTCATGCTAGGCAGGTGCTACTGACCCATGCTAGGCAGGTGCTACTAGCCCATGCTAGACAGCTGCTACTAAGTCGTGCTAGACAAGGTTTACTGGCTCATGCTAGGCAGGACTTACTGATCTATGCTAGACAGGTCATTCACAGACCAAGTCTCTCTCTCTCTCTCTCTTTCTCTCTCTCTCTCTCTCTCTCTCTCATCTATTTGTCTACTATATTTCTTAAGCTATCCAACAATGTTTTAAATGCAATAACTCAACTTGGAAGTTTGTTCCACTCATCTACAATTCTCATATTTCATCCATATTCTTTTAGATATTTTTTGCACCAAATTAATATAACCTTCGTTTAAAACTGTCTTCCAGTTGTATACTTCAGTGATATCCCTCTCATTCTATGTCTTTCAAGAGAGTGAAGGTTCAGGGCTCTCAATCATTCTATGTCTTTCAAGAGAGTGAAGGTTCAGGGCTCTCAATCACTATTCGTATGAAAGATTTATTTTACAGTGGATTAGTTTTGTCATGCTTCTCTGAATGTTCTCTAAATTTTTTATATGTATTCTGTAATATAGAGGCTAAAAGTAAGCTTATAATCGAGTGAGGTCTTACTAATGACGTACAACGTGGTAATAAAACCTTTGATCTCTAGTTACTTACAATTCTTTATATAGATCTAAGTAGTTTGACAGCCTTATTACAGACACTTAGGCACTGTTTTCCCGATTTTCATATTTCTAATTACTCTAGCACTAATATTTTCTTCATATTTTGTATGTTCACGCAAAAACTTTCACCTGTTTTATAAGTCCGAGGGTCATTTTATTCCTCAGTATTAATACTTTGCACTTTAATTCGTGGTGCTACTTAATATATAACGACATTAGTTTGTCCAGTTCTTCCTAAATTTCTAAATATTTAGTCTGTGTTGTCATGAATTTGGCTTGTCACTTATTCCTCATCAAGGTCACTAATATCAGTTATGTACAAGAATGGTTCTAAAACTGACCCTAGAGGAACACCACTTGTCACGATTTTAATCGTTTATACAAACTCGTTTTTTCTATCAGGCAGCCATATCGCCGTTCATAAAAGAGTCTTTCCTCTAGTCTAGTACCTTGTGCTACCACACTTAGGACAGTAATTAACGAAAAGTATTGCACATCAGCAGCTTTGTTAATCCTAGCCAGAGTTAGTTATTCTTACACTACTTAAAGTGATGAAGATATTGTGTTTATAAGCTTAGAGTAACCCATAAAGCATGTTGGTCTTGGCTGGTTGGGCAAGAGTACAATAGCTTGTTTCCTTAGCCTGTACTGGGAAGTATGTGATGAATGGTTTTGAAAACCGACAAGCTGAAGAATTGAGACACTTATGCAACATATGGGAATCTTTACTGAAGAAACGTTTCGCCACACAGTGGCTTCATCAGTCCTATACAAAGCATGACAGCAAGCCTGGCTTACAATTATGTTTGTGGTATCAGACGATTGGTGTTGATGTCTGGGTTGTGTTACTCTCACTAAAATAGTCAAGAATTTTAGTTTCGTTAAGTTCTAAGTGTGTCACATATGTGTTTACCACACCATCTGTCAGTATTCATATTACTTGTACTTACCTTCAAGAAAGTGAGTACTCATGTAACTAGTACTTGTACTCAAGAAAGTAAGTAAATTAGACAGGAACGATCCCTTTTTAATCATGTTCGTGGCTCATTATTCAAATGACTTTTATTAAGGCAGTTTCTGTGTCTTCAGATGAAGGTTGTTTGCTGCTGTGTGGCTTGGCTCTGGCTGCTGCCCACCCTACCTGGGAAGAATTTAAGGTAAAATCTTGATTACTTTAACTTAGAAGAGTAACTTTATCATGTTAGGGTAGAAAGGGTAATATTTACATGTTTCGGGGATATGTCTCATAATGGTATACCTTAAGTATGGTACAACATATAAGTAATTTTCTCGCCACAGCTTTTCATGAACGCAAGTATGTTGACGCTGAAGAAGAGAATTACCGCAGAAGCGTGTTCGACCATAACTTGCAACTGGTGAAGGACCACAATGCCAAGCACGAGAGGGGAGAGGTGACCTTCACACTGGCAAAAAACAAGTTGGGTGACCTGGTAAGACAGTGACTTAATAAGTACTCGACCCTGATTTTACAATGACATGGCAGTACGGTGATCTGGTTAGTCCCGCTACTGTGTTTATAAGCAAAACAATTGCAGGATATTACAAAGGATATACACATGTATTTTTCACATATCTGAACATCAAAAACACAATCAATACATAGCTGTAATATTGATATGAACAATATACACAGAACTTGCCATTATTTCCACAAAATATCGTTGATCATTTTACTACAAAAGTTCATTTATGAACGATATATTGTGGGAAGAGATATTTCTATTTTTTTCCCTTCGGGGTGTCAAACGTAAGTTCATTTTCCATCCAAAAAAATTAAAATATTTTTATATAACTTTGTTATACATAAGATATATAATATTATACACAGGTATAAGATGCGTTAATACATTTATTACAATGACAGACTAACGAGGAGTTCAACGCCATGATGAACACATACAAGAGTGGTCAACGTGGAGGTGCTCATGCCAAAGAGTTCGACCTTGATGTCGACGCACCAAAGGCAGCGACTGTTGACTGGCGTACCTCTGGCGCTGTGACCGGTGTCAAGGACCAGGGACAGTGCGGTTCATGCTGGTCCTTCTCTGCTGTAAGTGGTTCACTGTATTACCCATCACTCTATGTTGGTACTAATGTTACCTCTCACTATATGTTGGTACTAATGTTACCTCTCACTATATGTTGGTACTAATGTTACCTCTCACTATATGTTGGTACTAATGTTACCTCTCACTATATGTTGGTACTAATGTTACCTCTCACTATATGTTGGTACTAATGTTACCTCTCACTATATGTTGGTACTAATGTTACCTCTCACTATATGTTGGTACTAATGTTACCTCTCACTATATGTTGGTACTAATGTTACCTCTCACTATATGTTGGTACTAATGTTACCTCTCACTATATGTTGGTACTAATGTTACCTCTCACTATATGTTGGTACTAATGTTACCTCTCACTATATGTTGGTACTAATTTTAAACCTCTCACTATATTTTTGGTACTAATGTTACCTCTCATATATGTTGGTACTAATGTTACCTCTCACTATATGTTGGTACTAATTTTACCTCTCACTATATGTTGGTACTAATTTTACCTCTCATTTAAGGGACAGTTGACGCGTGTGGAGCAGGAAAATAATCGATAAATCGAACAAACAGCGAAGAAAAACGAGAAATGAGTTTATATAACAGAATATAGTTTAAAAATCTGGCAATATTTTGGTTTAAATCTGATGGTAGTTCAATGTTTATACATCGAATTATAGTCATTACAACATTTCTTGTGATGACACAACACGTAATACATGTCTTAACATGAAGTAAATTTTCATTTTTTTTTGAGAATTTTTTATTTTGTGTATAAATCTTTCTAGTGTATGTAATCACTATTTGACATCTATACAAAGGTCATTAGAAATGAGGTTAGGTTAGGTAAGATTCGCTTGTCTTAGATGATGACCCGCCTCTGTAGCTTTTGATCATCTGACCGAGGCCTTCCGCTGGCTTACCGGTCCTCCCCTTTAAAAATTATAGTCATAGCTATAACCATTTGCTATAAGGAGTATCAGTAATTGATGAGTCAACATGAGGCACTGAGGTGTGAATAACGGCACTTTAATTAAAATGTTGCATAACTGCATTATTATTAATAATAAAGTTTATCTACCCATTACATTTATTCTAAAGTTATATTATGCACAAGATAAGTAACATAGAAGCATAATAAAGACGCCCAAATTATTAACAAAAAGACATAAGCGGAGCGGTCGAGGTTCAGCATATAGACAGAGTATTCACAAAGAGATTTATATTACGTTTTCTTTGGTCTCTGAGTTAGTGCCACAAAACAAAACTGTCTTATAGGGGTAACTACATAAGATCACTCATATCGTATGTAAAGCCTCAAAATTAGCGTGAGTGTCTCGATTTGTTTTTTCCCAGATACTCGAGTGTGTGCGCCATTAATACTGGATTGAAAGGATTTTCACAGCCAACAAAAAATACTGAATATTTGACAAGCTGATGAACAAATTTTTGAAATATCCAAAATATTTTTGTCTGGGGGTAATAGGCAGATATTTTAAAAAAAAATAAAACTTACTAACTGTATTTTGTTTCGGGGAGGGGGATGAAGATAATGTATATTACATTATTTTTGGCCATTAAAAAAATGGATTAGACTTTTTTTTATCAGTTGGGTGCCCCAAAATCTTTTAGCAGTGCCAGTATGTGCCATCTTGCTGCCATATTTTATTTTCAGTAAATATTTGTTTTTCATTTGTTTGTTGGGCGATCTTATAGAAACTTCGTCGAAGATGTGCACATCTTAACGTATATCGAAAATAAACCAAGTCGGTCAAAAAAAAAAAAAATTTGTATACCAGTCCCTAAGTTGGTACTGTTTCCTGTCACTCTGTGTATGCTTATTTTTTATGCATATATCTGTTTCACGTCTACATAAGTATATTATATACAAATGTATCTTGTATATAAGTGTATCTTGTACATATTATTTTATATATATATAAATATATATATAATATATATATATAAAATATATATATATATAAAAATATATATATATATATATATACATATGTATATAAATGCACCATACTTCATCTGTTTGCTAGTTCATGACCACTGTGACGTGTACATAGTTCTTGATTACTTTAAGTACTATATAGCTCTTGATTTCCCACTGTAACTTGCTTATTTTTCAAAACACTTTGGCCCACTACCTGGACCATGGGTATGTGGAGACTACTGCCCACGCCATGGGTATGTAGTGAATACCACCCACATCACGGGGTATATAATACCATAACCACACTCTATTTTTGCAGATTGGTTCACTAAATAATGCACTAATTACGGTCTACTGTTACAGACTGGTTCACTGGAAGCTCAGCACTTCTTCTCTACCGGTAAGCTCATCAGTCTCTCCGAGCAGCAACTGGTAGACTGTGCCAATGGTATCTACTACAACCAAGGCTGTAATGGTGGCTGGGTAGATATGGCCTTTGAGTACATCTACGACTATGGCTCCCAGACCGAAGCTTCATACCCGTACTATGCTGTGGTAAGTACCTGGTATATACACTAACATTCAGACCTGTAATATAATGTTGAATTTGGATAAATTATTAATTTTTAAAAATTGGGAAGCACACTAAACCCGTAAGGGACTTAAAGCTTCTTCAAAAAGCATGGAAATATTTTTACTCTCAGTTCCCCCAAGCACCGTTTTTCTACCATTTATTTTAATATAATTGTTTAATTAAGGAAAGAAAATATTTCAATAGGGCCCTTTTCAGTAGTTTTTTTTTTTTTTTATTTTTTTTTAAAACATAGGGCCCATTCCCACCCAAGGGAGGGCGGCCCGAAAAAGGAAAAATCATCATCACTCCATACTGTCTTGCCAGAAGTGTGCTTACACTACAGTTAAAAACTGCAACATTAACACCCCTTCTTCAGAGTGCAGACACTGTACTTCCCATCTCCAGGACTCAAGTCCGGCCTGACTGTTTCCCTGAATCCCTTCATAAATGTTTCTTTGCCCCACACTCCAACAGCACGTCAATTATTAAAAACCCCTTTGGGCTCCATTCACCCCTATCAAATACGTCACGCATGCTTGCTGGGAAGTCCAAGCCCCTCGCACACAAAACTTCCTTCACCCCCTCCCTCCATCCTTTCCTAGGCCTACCCCTACCCTGCCATCCCTTTACTTTTCAGTAGATATAATGCTGAATAAGACCTCGTATGGAGGCTGAAGTATTTAAGCAATATTCTTTGTGGGTTAATGAATATATAAGTGTTATTTAACTCTGACAAGTGTTGATGATTCTGCATCAATTATTATGTGTATTAAAGAAGTATTAAAGATGTGACGTGACTGTTTACTGTTGTCATTACTGTTGTAGGACATGAGCTGCCGTTACAACTCCAACAGTGTTGCTGCTACACTGAGGAACTATGTTGACATTCCACAAGGCAGTGAGAGCTCTCTATTGTCTGCTTCTGCCTCAGTGGGTCCCATCTCTGTGGCCATTGATGCCTCTAACTACTCCTTCCAGCTCTATTACAGTGGTAAGTGATATTATTTTACCTACAATAGCTGGGCACATACCAATTATACTCACCTTTATGCTATACTCACCAATTATACCCTCCTTAATGGTATGCTCACCTATTATACACACTTTAACGTTATACCCACTTAAACAATATACTCAACTACTATACCCACCTTATCACTATACTCTCCTCTACCCACCTAAGCTCTATACCCACCTGTTGGACCCACCATAGCTTGATATTATGCCCATCTACGAGGCCATATACACACAAATCAGAATTTTTGGGGGGAATTAAACGGAAAATATTGAAGTTTTACTAAATTTACTTGTGTACGAATGGTATATAATACCGACAAGATGAGATTAAGACACATATGCAACATCTGGGTATCTTTATTGTAGACGTTTCGCCATCCAGTGGCTTTATCAATACAAATTCTAGGACATAACTTGAAGACAGTAGAACTATGTACAGAAGATGAGGTAATCAGTCCCTCAACCTAGGAGTAGGTGCGAAGAGCACCATAGTCGTCTACCAGTGAATATGCCCTCGTCTGCTACACCTGACGTTACTATATAAGCGCCAGGATCCTGTCTTCTGCTTCAGAATCTCCACGACTATGGTGCTCTTCGCACCTACTCCTAGGTTGAGGGACTGATTACCTCATCTTCTGTACATAGTTCTACTGTCTTCAAGTTATGTCCTAGAATTTGTATTGATAAAGCCAATGGATGGCGAAACGTCTACAATAAAGATACCCAGATGTTGCATATGTGTCTTAATCTCACTAAATTTACTTAAAAAATACTTAAAAAATTTAACCTAAGTATAGTAGTGGCAGTATAGTTGCTCCACCACAGGTGTGTACTGGGGTACTAAAGTGCAGTTGTTCCACAACAGGTGTGTGCTCGGGTACTAATGTGTAGTTGTTTCACCACAGGTGTGTACTATGAATCCTCGTGTTCATCCACCAGCCTTGACCACGCTGTACTCGTAGTGGGTTATGGTACTGAGTCTGGCTCAGACTACTGGTTGGTCAAGAACTCCTGGGGCACCAGCTGGGGAGAGTCTGGCTACATCAAGATGGCCCGCGGCAGGAGCAACAACTGTGGTATTGCCACTGAGGCATCATACCCAGTGGTGTAATAACCAGACTCTATCTACCTGCCACTGAAGCTTCATACAAAGTGGTATAGTTATCAGAGATCTTCTATTCCACTAGAGCAAGTGGAGGCTGTTGTATTTCTCAGTGGCATGAGACAACATGGACACTTCAGAAAGAACGTTTGTTCATCTTTGTTCATGGAATATCGTCTCAGAATAAATAATAACTAAAACTTCTGTTTCTATAACCTTTTAAATCCTTGGTAACAGAGTTAATTACTCACACTGAGGAGGATCCTCAGCTTGTATCAGGATTACATTATACTGCTAGGAGAATCTAATCCTGAGCCACATAAAGGAGACATCCGTCGTTGCGTACTGAAACCTGATATTCACTGGGTTTATGTTCCTGGAAGTGATGTTAAGCCTGAAGCCTCAGTCACCTTCCACTTTACACTGAAACCTCTTGCACACTGGGGTCGTTATTCCTGCAGCTGATGTGAAATCTAAATCTTGACAGACAATCTTAGATATTTTAGTTAAAAGTTTGTATGGCAATATTTTCTTAAATATTGCAGTAATCTACTTAATTTTGACATTGAAAGAGAATGAATGCATTCTGAATGAAATTATCTGTTTTCTTAATTTAGTGGTTGTTTACCAAGCAGGAAGAAAATTTACTAAGCTCTTAATGGATTGTGAAAACATGCAATTACATTAACTTTTATAACATTTCCTTGAAGCTCATCTCTAGGAATCCCTTAAATTATTTGCTGAAACAACTAATTGCTCAAGAATGAATTTGTCTACTGGCAGGGCTGCGTCTACTCTCGTTACCACGTCCCTATATAAGAACAATAGCGACAAGAGAGATGGTGAAGGTTTTGAGTGCTAAGGGCTGAAACATCTAGCAGGTATATGTAAATGCAATATATCGAAGTGAAAGCATTGCAACCTTTGGGAAGGGGTTCAGGGAAACTGCTTAACAGATTTTATGTGTAGATGTGTAAAGTACAGAGTCTCCACTGTGAAGGAAGGAGGATGCTGCAATTCGGATGCTGCCTGAATTGTGATCTCTGCTCATTTCTCCAGTGATGGCGATATATAAAAATGTATTCAGTCTTAGACTAGAAGATATACAATTGGATAAAACTGAGATGATATAGGTGCCACAAGGAATGACAGAAAACAGTATTTTAAGCATCCTGTCTCTATGTTCTGCATCCAACAAATTGGCAGTTTTTTCTGACAGCCACTACCACAGTGTGTGACACTGTCCTCATCCATATCACCTCAGCAGACGAGTATACCAGATAAAGCAAAATTAATTACCAGGCCATAATAAGCGCTTTCAGTGGATACTTAAAAAATTACCCGAGCCTCCTATAAACGATTAGGCTGGGATTTAAATTTGAATATTTTGTGCTTTGAAGAAAGACGTTTTTCACATTATGGTTTAAAGTGTTGAAAACGACAATATGCATAATAACAACCGATTATACAATTGCGCATTGAAAAAAATGAATCAAAAGCCTTTCCCTTGCTCAGTATACATTCTTCTTCCTCACCAGACATTACGCAGTTTTAATCATCATTTTAAACTTAATCAGTGACCCAAAATTAGTAAAGAATAATAAGTTATATTACCAAGACGTTTTAGCACAGCTGACATGAGTTCAATATATCACTGCAAAAGATACTGAATAATGGAACTTAGTTAGTCACTGAATACTTAGTTTAATATTTCACTAGAAACGGGTATCGTGGCGGAGATGTAGAAGATAGCTAATGAAGTCCTTACTAAAGTCTCTCATATATGTTTAAAGATATATTTTTTCGTATATGTTAATGTAAAAATTAGTAATTTTGTACCAAAAGAACCTTAGAAAACTTACCCAACCTTGTTATAACAAGTGCAATTTAAATTAGCCTTATCCATCTAAATATATTTAAAATAAGTTTACAATAGTTTTAATAATAAACAAACACAATGAAATATATTTTTAACTTTACGTTCAGAATGATCTTCGCAAAATTATTACATACAAAAATTTTTGCTTTCCATTTCGGTAAGAAAAAATTGCTATTTTAGCCAAAATCGCAATTTTAGCCATTCTGTCCGTGCAAACACCTACCGCCAAATCTAAGCGAAGGGCTTACGCCACAAGCAAAAGGAAACCCTAAGACCCGTAAATTAAGGCTCTTCCCCTTGCTATAACTTCATCCCAGAAAGGGTTTGCGACCCTAAAGGACAATTGCCTAAAGTTCCTAAAAAGTGGGTAAAAAGCCTCACAAAAAACAAGGATAAGAGCACCTCCCTCTTTCATGACTGTTTGCGATCCAGAGGAAATCCTCCCCGCTTTTACCCCGCCGGCCCCCGCCTGATGCTACAATTTTTTCGAGATGTTGCCTGAGATTTATTTATTTTTTTTCCCATGTATTTTTGCCAATGTATTTGCTTTAAATAATTCACATAGAAATATAATAAAGGAGGTGGGAGAAGAAAAATTCAAACGTTTCAGGGAAACCTAGATTTTTACCTAAAAGTTCCCTCTTTTCTCGAAATAAGGTCCTCAGACCTAGCCAAGGCTGGCATGGCCTCAACTATGACCATAACTGCAAAACCTAACAAGACCATAGGGCAAGGCCCACTATGACCATGGCTGGCATAGACATAACTATGCCTAGGGGGCATAGGCCTAAACTGCCCAAAGGGGCTGCAAGGCCCAACATGACAAGAGCGGCATAGACATAACAGACCATCTGGCTAGGCCAAAACATGACCCAGGGGCGCATAGGCCCAAACTATCCCCATTTGGGCTGGATAGGCCAAAACCATGACCGGGCGGAAAGGGCCACAACTATACCAGTAGGCGGCAAGACAAAAAAACTTGACCATGGGCTGGCATAGACAATAACATCCCATGCCATGGGCCTCAACTATGACCATGGGCTGTAGACAATTACTATACTTGGCTGGCATGGCCCCAAAACATATCATAGCGGAAAGGGCCACAACTTACAGTGGGGCTAGGCCCAACATACCGTGGGCGGGCATGGGCCACAACTTGCCCATAGGCGGCATGGCCCAAAACAAACCAGTGGGCTGCATGGGCCACAACTTGACCATAGGCTGGAAAGGGCCAAACATGACCTTAGGGCAAGGCCACACTTGTCCATAGGCGGGCATAGGCCAAAACCCAAACCCTGTGGCTGGCCGACCACACAGCCCATAGGCTGGCAAGGCCCACAACTATACCATAGGCTGATAGGCCACAACTATGTCCAGTAGTGGCATACCACAACCATGACCTTTTGGGCCAGACCAAAACTATGCCGGGGGCCGGGCATAGGCCACAACCATGACCATAGGCGGGGCAAGACCAAAAACCATGACCATGGGCTGGCATGGCCAAAACTAGTCCATAGCTGGCATAGGCCACAACAGACCGTAGGGGGGGATACCCAAAACCTGCCCACAGTGAATGTTTTAACTCGAGTTTCCCAAACAAAAATTATTCAAGCAAATCGCGAAACCTTTTTTTATTTTCCCATTACGTCTTAATCCCCTTTTAAAAAACCATTGTAAAAAAGTTTTATTGGGAACTCAAAATTAAAATAAAAAATAAAAATTTTTCAGCCCGGGTTTAAAACCCTTTAAATCTGGTGCATCCTTGAGTTGGGAAAGGGACACCTCCTCCCTTCCCCAGGTGCGTTGACCCTAGGGGCCAGGCTCCTAAAACAACAATCACCCCAACCGGAAAGATTATCTCCTCCACAACCAATACTTTTTCCTAGACCTCACGAATTTTGAAATTGGAACTTAGCAACATAGGGACTTCAAACACTTTCCAACCTTGGCGGGGACCTACTTGCCCCCTCCGCATCGCTCACCAATACGTCAAAAGCCACTTCTGGGGCCCATACTGTACTTTCTCCCAAGCTGATATTGAACACATCGCCCCAGGCTGGGGACGATTCCCCTAAAACTCCCCTCTCCTTAATTATTCTCCTTTTAATGGACGTAAGCACTGTGGGGCGAAACGTTTTTCCAAAAAAAATTCCCATATTTTTAAAGCTAAATCTTCTACTTGTGGGTTTTTAACCTTTTCATTTACAATTTTCCCGTTTTAAATTTTTTCTAGGTATCACCATCGCTTTCCCATTGACACTAATATGGTCCGGGGAGAAAGTCCCCAAAAATAAAACAAAATCAAACACATGTATTTCTCCAAAATCATATACACAACAGATACACCAAGGCTGGGGGAACCAAACATACTCCCCCTGATAATAACGTCCCCGGGACGGATATGTTTGGGGAAACCCCATGTGATCATACGCACCTGGAAAGGGGTGGGTGCCCCAGTTAAAAAATATCAAGAGCACTGCATCCCTCGGGTTCCCTTTTATTGTGACTGAAAAATTATTACGCTTCATTTAAATTTGAGTTCACAAGACAGAAAAATTTTTAAAATGGTTTTGAAAGCAATCAATTTTATGGTCATAAAAAAAACATATTAGATTTAACTTAAAAACCAATTTTAAATTTAATGTGAAATTCGTCAAGTTTTACATTCAGGGGTTTCACAGTTGGGGCTTATCCAACCTTCCACCGACTGTACAGGGTACAAAGTAATTCCTACCTAATTTAAAACACCCCTTCCAGGGGTTTCATGCTAAAAATTTTGCAATTATCCAACGTCGTCCTACCCTTTACACAAAAAAACACTTTGGCTCCCAACGACTCCACGAGTACAAAGTAATCAATGTACCTATTCAACACACATTTTTTGTTCACGTTTTTTATGACACAAAGGTTTTTATCTGTCCTCGGCGGAGTACGACTTACCGTACCTACATGACACAGAAGGGGGTTTTAATTTGATCATTAACTTTTTAGAAGGGGCAGTAGCAGTTTTTTTGCAGCTAGATAGGCCCAGGGGTACATAGAAAAAAGAACACATGTGAACCAAATGGGCCCACAAAAATTTTACCCATGATGGCCCGGAACCACTTCTGGCTTTGCTGTCTATGGGTAAAGACCTACTACGGCTTTTGGTGGGCCCACTGCTGCCCTTTTACTAGCCAATCTGGGCCCACTGTCTAGGGGACTACGGGGCCCGAAAATTAACAAATGTTTTAAATCTTGGGGTCATTACAAGGAAACGTTTTGGGCCCCAAAGTCCTAACCAAAGATGGTAAGTTTTAGGGCTTTTAAGAAACATCCATA